ATCCTCCTACACAGTAACGCAGTAGCTGCTCCAGGTGTGAGCCTCAGATGAGAAGGTTTGACCACACCTCTCCCCAGACTAACGTACTGGAAAGAGCCCAGGCTGGAAGAGCCCAGCACTGCCATTTGCTGAGAGGCAAAGCCTGCAGACATGCCACCAACTGCCTGCCACATACCATGTCCCATGTTGGGACAGAAAGCAAGTGGCAGTGAGTTGGGGACAGTGTCCTGGCGCTCATAACACCGGGGGTGGTATTAAGCCTTCTCTGCGGGTGTGTAAAATGAAAGCAAAGTTTAAAGCGTGTGAAAGGCCATGTGTGACAGGTCTGGCAAAAGCGACAGCCGGCCCTGTGCACTTGCACCCTTAGGTTCTGCATTTAAGGATCCGGCCGACCACAGGTGGAAATACTGAAGCGTCGTTACTCCTCTGCTGCCAACACGTGCTCCGAAGGCAGGCCTGTGGTGGCCACATCTACGCTAACGTCACCCCCCCTTTTAAAAATGTTTATAGTGTGGGGGTGGGGGTGCACTTGTGTGGAAGTCAGAGTCTAATCTGCAGGAGTCAGTTTGCCCCTCTCAACACGTGAGCTCCAGGAATCGAACTCAGGTCGTCAGGCTTGATGACAAGCACCCTTGTCTACTGAGCCATTCCGCAGACTTTTTTCCTTTTCATGATTCCTCAAGCAAAGCAACCATTTGCATCGCATCTACATCTATTTTATAACGAATCTAGAGATGATGATTTGAAATAGAAGGGAGGAGCTCGAGAGGTGACTCAGTGGTTAAGAGCACTTGTGCAATGGCCAAGATCAAAAACACTGACGACAACTTATGCTGGAGAGGATGTGGGGTAAGGGGAACACTCCTCTATTGCTGGTGGGAGTGCGTTTCTCAGAAAATTAGGAAACAGTCTACCTCAAGACCCAGTAATAGTGCTGTTGGGTATATACCCAAATGATGCTCAATCATACCACGAAGACATTTGCTCAACTATGTTCATAGCAGCATTGTTTGTCATAACCAAAACCTGGAAACAAACTACATACCCCTCAACCAAAGAAATGATAAAGAAAATGTGGTACATTTACACAATGGAGTTCTATACAACAGAAAAAAAAATGACATCTTAAAATTTGCAGACAAATGGATGGATCTAGAAAAAAAACATATTGAGTGAGGTAACCCAGACCCAGAAAAGATAAATCTAATATGTACTCACTCTAAGTGGCTTCTAGACATAAAGCAAAGAAAAGCCAACCTACAGTCCACAACCCCAGACACCCTAGACAACAAAGAGGACCCTAAGAGAAACATACATGGATCTACATAAGAAGGAGAAAAGACAAGATCTCCTAAGTAAATTGGGAACATGGGGGTGACAGGAAAGGGTAGAAGGGGAGGTGAAGGAAGAAAGGGGAGCAGAGAAAAATGTATAGCTCAATAAAAACAATAAAGAGAGAGCACTTGCTGCTCTTGCAGAGGACCCAGGCTCAATTCCCAGCACCCACCGGGTAACTATTGAAGAAATAAGTATGCCAATCCTCAAACACTCAATGTAATGTAACATGTATCCAAACACCATGGTTGGAGAGAAGGCTGGGTGGGTTAAGGGCGCTTGTTGGTCTTGCAGAGGACCTGGGTTTGATTCATAGCACCCACACGATGGCTCAAAACCATCCATAACTCCAGTTTTAGGGGATCCAACCCTCTCTTCTGACTGCCACAGGCACCAAGCACACACATGGTGCACATACATACACACAGGCAAAACACTCACACATAAAATAAAATTGAAAAATCTAATAAACACAAATAAAATAAAAAATTTAAATATTATATAGTACTCCACTAATATATTCAACCTTGTGCCTTTATATATTAGTTGAAATAAGCTAAAAGTGAGTAAACTGTGGTCAGCAGTTAAGAGCACCGGCTGCTCTTTCTTGCAGGATACACGGGTTCAATTCCCAACACTCACGTGGTGGAGCACAGGCATCTGTAACTCCAGTCCCAGGGGAATCTGACCCCTCTTCTGGCCTCTGCAGCACCAGGCATGTACACGGTGCACATACACACATGCAGGCAAAATACATGTTTAAAGAGAAAATAAAGGTCTGAAGAGGATATCTGTAGGTTCTCTGCAGCTAGTATCATTTTATACGAGCACCATGGATATTTCATGGACACTGAGGGATGACCTTGCAGCCTCAGGGGGCTGGAGGACAGAGAGGACCTAAAGAGACTTTAGTTTCATCTGTTGTGTGTTTGTAGCTAAAATGAGTACCAGTTTTACCTGTACTATCAAAAATATCTTAAAATCCAAAGTCTTTACTACATTTTGCCTATGCAGTGAGGCCCACTCTGATTTCTTTATTGGTGCTGGGGAGGAGCCCCAAGGCTGTGCAAGGACTTCATCGCCAAGCACACTGCAGCCTTCGCTGAGGCTAGCCTCCACCTCCTCACTCCCACCCACCCACCCACTCCAGCCTTCGCTGAGGCTAGCCTCCGCCTCTGCCTCCGCACTCCCACCCACCAGCTGCATCTCTGGCTCCCACAGTTTGGTTCCTGGTGGTGACGCTTTGTCCCTGTCCTCAGATCAGGGGACAGAAAACTCCAGCCTGTGAGGCAGATCCAACCTATAGCCTCTTTTAACCCAGCTCCAGAGCTAAAGATAATTTCCCATGCTTTAATGTTAGAGAAATCAAAAGGAAGGCAAAGATTTATGACAGCTGAAAATTAGATCGCATCCCAGCTACTGCATCCGCAGATCATGTCCCTGGCCCCTAGCCATGGATACTTGTTTACATCCTGTCTCGGGCTGCTTTCTGCCGTGGAGGCAGAACCGAGTGGCTATGTAACTATGTGACTGGCTCAGAATATCTGGTTCCTTGCAGACAAAACCCCCTGCCCCTTAGGTCTGGATGTGGGAGTGGAGGGGGCCACTTCCCTTTTGTATTCCCAGTCCCAAGAACACTGCCAGCACACAGTAGGTGCTTAGCAAACCTACCTAAATTAATGGAGGTGCATGCAGAACCTGCTGCTTTGGTCTCCTAAAGAGTGTGGGCAATGACATACACCACCACCACTACCATATTCTCCAATTCTACCTTGAGCACAGGGAAAGGTTCCCCGGGGGGTGTCAGCTACTCCAAGGAGGAGATGATGAAGCGGTGGCAAGACCTGAACTTGGCACCAGTACAGTAGGCCTCTGTGTCTCTGGGATAGTGGCCTATCTGGCTTACCTGGTTTATTCAAAGGGATTGTCTGTTACCTGCTGTTGGCCAGGGTTGACGGGCTATGCTGTGTGGTTTGCTGCTCTCTGGTGGTCACTTGGAGAGGTTGTCACCAAAGAACACATGATTTCGTTTTCCTAGGACGCCTTCCTTCAATCCCCAAAACGCAGGGACTTGTCAGCCTGGGCTCTGTCCCTTGCAGGTCCCCACTCACATCCTCCCTGGGGGAATCAGGAGTCAGAGGGAGTCCTCTGGCTAACCTGAGATCCTAGCTCCCTTTCCTAGGGCGCTGGAGGACACCACACTTGGCACCCGTGTGTACTCCATCCTGACAGAGCTGGAAGGCGTCCTTGCTCCCTACTGACCGGGGACCCACCTAGAGGGATGCATGATGGAAGCCTTGTCTGCTCCCTTGTGTTTTAGGCATAACTGCAAAGGCCCCTCTGATGGTGAGGACCGCTTGGTACAGGAACTGCTCCACGAACTGTCATGGGAATGGGAAGTGGGTCCCTAATCAACCCCAAAGTGCACTGACAAGTGGTTTATGGTTTGGATCTGAAATACCCTCCCAAAGGCTCATGCATTTGAAGGCTTGGTTCTTATACAGCAGTGTCTAGAGGCAAGACCTTTGGGAAGTGACAGGCTCATAAGGACTCTGGCTTCACTAACCCACTGGTGGCTTCTTAACTTGAAGAGAGGTGATGATAAGAAGAGGGACTAGCTGGAGAGAGTGGTCTGGCACATGTCCCTGGGAGTTATGCCTTGTCCCAGGCCCCTCCCCTTGGGCTTTCTGGCTGCCCTGAGTCAAGCACTTCTTCCACAATGCCCTCCCTAGCACTAACCCTAACTTTAACCACAGGCCCACAGGAAGAAACCACGCAACGATGGACCAGATCCTCTGAAACTGTGAGCCAAAAGAAACCACTCTTCTTTGATTTTTCTGAGGCATCTTGTCAGAGCAAGAAGCTGACTCAGGATAACCACGTGCTTCTCAGCGCACCTCACACCACCAGTGACTGCTCCTTGCCTGCCTCTGCTGCGGAAACCCCAGTCTCTGGCTGGGGCCTCCTGTGTGAGCGGCTGCAGAGTCTGTGATCAGCAGTGCGGGGTGCGTGTGTGGAAGGACAGGTAGGCAGAGTGGCTGGTCAGCATGGATGAATAGATGGAGACCTCTGGAAAACTTCGGGTCTGGTCTACACCATCTCATCAACTTGGGTTCTAGACCCTGGCACCTCCACTTCCTGTGCCCATGCTCTCCGCCCTTTACACATCATTCCTGCCAGCCCAGCTCCCTCACACCAACCCCATCACGGCCTTGGAGGCCTTACAGAAGCTGTCGCCAAAACTTAGATGGCTGTTCCCCAGAGATGGCACCCTTCCCGAGCCTCCACCCAGGCTCCCAGCTGTCACTCACCCTCATAGCACACATTACCAACAAAATGCCTGCCTCCTCACCATCTGTTCCCCCGTGAGGAGGCAGCACTGGGCAGGGACTTTGCCTTTCTCTCTCCTGTGTCACTAGTACCTAAGTAGATTTGGATGTCACCTTTGGGGAAGAAAGATAACTTTACACCCCTCATTGGTTGCTAAGAAGACGCATGCAATGCCAAGCTGCAGCACAAGGGAGTAGGAGGCTCTGTGCCTCCTGTGCCCCAGGCAGACTCCCTCCCCTCTGAGTCCGCTTCCTCATCAGAAAAAGAAATTGCAATCCACAAGGGAGATGCGAGCTTTGAGGGAGAAATGAAACCATCTGAAATGAGAAAATCGATGCTTTGGGAGCTGTATTTATTGCAGTGTACATACGACCACAGCCAGGGCCACCAGGAGCTCTGTGCAGCCTATGCCAGGGGTCAAAGCTACCAGGTGCACACCGCCTGGTCAGCCTAGATGGCTGCAGCTCCCAGCACCCCACATGGCTCAGTCGTCACGAGTGATGCTAACACAGGAGCTGAAGCTGGGCCCCGGGCTCTCGGTGCTGCCTGTAGGTCTGAGTTAAAATCTGGCTGTCTTACAAGAGCCTACAGACGTCCGGCTTCTCTGAGATTTCCGCTGTCAGTCCCACATTCCCACACCATAGCAGTAGCTACAACAGAGCAGCAGTTGGCTCCTGTGGGTGAGGGCCTGTCTCGACACAGTTCCCACTGACACAGTTCCCACTGTACCCCCCCTGCACTCTTGAGCAGACCACCATCATCACCTGGCTTGCACACAGATAGTTCGTCATCACAGAAACTGTTTTTCTGCCTGGTCTCCAGCACTGATCAAGGTCAAGGCAAAGCAGGTCCCACTACTCTATCCCACTCGTTTAACTTGGGCACCAGAGCTGTGACCTTTGGACCAGCCCATCCCTCCTTTCGTCCAGCACAGGGAAAAGGCAGAGAAGAGTCGCTTCACACGTGCTATCCCTTTAGGCTTATACTGCCTACGGCTGAGCTGGTTTGCTTCTAGTTTGCAAGCCCGGGTAGGTACTGAGGCGAGGGTGTAAAGGAAAGCCAGCGGCAGAGACTGTGGTGTTGAGGTGCCCTCTAGTGGCCTCAAGGCACCACTGCAGGCCATGGAGAGGGTCACCCTCACAGATACTCCCACTGGCCCTTGCTCCCATAGCTCAGCCACTCTCCTGGACATTCTGACGCCCGCCTCGGTGCCCAGCACATCTACAGTCCACCAGGCTACACCCTCTTAGGGGTGATCTCCAGCACCCCATTCTTCAGATCTTTATGCCTTTCTTGAGGCTGAAAGAGAAGCCCTGAGGTGTTCACCAGGTTGGAAAGGTCAACTCTCGGGTGAGGTGTCTGTCTCCATGTCCTGATGCAGATGACACGGACACTGAGAAGCTGGTGTAGCCACACAGCCATTCTTCGGGAGAAGCAGGGGATGCAGTCTTTAAGGCAACACACCCATTGAAAAGGCTATCTCGGGTGCATAAGTCACCCGGACCTAGGAGACCTGGCTAGGCGATTGGGTTCAGGCCAGGGCCCTCCCTGGAGAGCTCTGAGGCTGTGCTGCCAACAGACCCTTCGGAGATGGTGAGGATAAGCCACTGTTTTTCCAAGTGCTGTTTATTGAGTAGTTTGTAGCCATCACCATGGGTGCTCCTGAGAGGCAAGGGAGAGAGAAAATTCTTGGGACTCCTTCAAGAGGCCTGGACACTGAAACCAAGGCGTGCGTCTGGCGGGGCTCAAGATCACAGTAAGAAGAGGCTGGAAACAGCAGACTCCTAAGCCCATTCCACAACTACACAGATACATCACACAGGAGACCAGTGTGAGTTCCCTACCCACCTGGCTACATCTTCCCATAGAGCCCTGGACAGACCATGGCCTCACAACAGTGGGGTGCTGACTCCAGGTGCACTCCTGAGTGTGCACACCCACACACATGAACACACCCCTCACACAGCTCTGTGGCCAACAGTCCGGTGGCTCCCCCAGCGGGCAATGCGCACCTGCTCACAAAGCCTCGGGACTCAGATCATAACAGACACCCCGCAGGCCTGCCATTTGAGCGAAGCCGCACATCCTAGCGGCCCCCGCCAGAGGCCCATTAGACTGGGCGCGTGGCCATCACCCCTGGCAGCCTCACCAGTTGGCCTTCACTGCCTTGATGTCACTCACGAGGTTCTGGGCCAAGCAGATGCCAAGTATCTGTAAGACAAACAGCAGGTAAGGGAGAGCGGAAGGCCTCAGGCGAGAGGAGGGCAAGCGAGCCAAGGGCATACCTGCAGGAGGGCAATGCCCACCAAGACCCCGGCCACCACAATCAAGTTGTCCTGCAGCCACTTCTCGAACTGGCCCACACAGCCTTTGGTGTAGATGGAGCCCTGTTGCTCAAGCTCCTGCGGAAACACAGGACCGGGCTCAGCCTGCCTGCTGCTGTGAGCCTCAGCTCCCGTCTATCCCTCTTCCCAAGCCCACCCCCCACTCCAGTGTCCTCCCTGACAATGTCTGTCTCCTGGAACTCTGCCACAGGGCCTTTGTACAGATCTTAGCCTGCCTCTGGTCTGAAGAGGCTTTCCCTGAGCACACAGACCTCCTCATCAGCCCCTGAGCTCGCGTGACTGCCCATGCCTAACGTTTACTGTCTTTCTCCCTCCTTCCCTTGAGTACAGAGACCATGCATGAGCACTGGGTCACCAAGGTCTAGAGCAATGCCAACCACAGCAGGTGCTCCACAGAGATGGGTGAGCATCCAAGACCTCAGACCCATCTGGGGCCAGTTCCACCCCATAGAAGCCCTAAGATCTACCAAGGGAGCTTATGAGAGGCCCCAAGCCACCCGTGTATCCCAGGGACCCTCAACCCTGTCCCCGCCTCTCTCACCAGTTTGAGTCGGATGTCATAGCCACACTGGGTATTGAGGACATCTTCCTGAGGGGGAGACGGACCATTAGTATGCTAAGGGAACTGCCATGGTCTCCCTGATGGTCTCCTGGGTCCTGAACTACGGCACTCCTCCTCCACAAAAAAGCAAACAGAAGCTTGGGTCTTGTCGTGCCCATTCATCTGCAGCAAAACTCCAGACTTCTCAACTCTCATGGACACCAGTGCACACTGGCACACACCTCCCACGGCTTCTCCTCCCAGGGCCCCACTCACCGCAGGGTCCCTAACACAGCAGGAGAAGGGCACCCCACAGCGCTCACGGCTTGGGTTCGAGTCAGTGCAGTTGAAGTAGACATTGAGGTTCCAGTCATTGGGCCCTCGGGCACCACAGCAAGACCACTAGGAAGACAGGAGAGTCTGCTCTCCAGGGGCACACACCGGTGACCAGGCCTAACCCCAGAGCCTCACCCTTCCCATCTGGGGCAAACCCAAAAGACAGAGCTGGCTGGCTGGCAACTCCAATCCCGAAAGCCAACAGACCAGAGTCCACAAGACTTGGAGTAGGTCGGTGACTCTGAAAGGTGGGACACAGCATGAAGGCTGTGGCTTCCTCAAGAGGGGCAGAAGCAAGAACAAGTCCTGAGGGGACAAAGACACTATAGACCCTCGTGTCTACACTGGGAGGCACTACAGACTCTCATGTCTACACTGGGAGGTACTATAGACCCTCATGTCTACACTGGGAGGCACTATAGACCCTCATGTGTACACTGGGAGGCATTATAGACCCTCGTGTCTACACTGGGAGGCACTATAGACCCTTGTGTCTACACCGGGAGGCACTATAGACCCTCATGTCTACACACTGAATCCCTCCACACTTGCCTCAGGAATTTTGCAAAACCTACACTGCAGGGACAGGAGAGGAACCCAGCCAGCTTTTCCATCCCAACCCACTCCACAAACGCCTGCTAGCCTCATGCTGGAAACACACATCCCTCCCTAGGATATCCTTGCTAACCTTCCCAGATGTGGCCATGGCCACCACAGGCCTGCAGCATGTAACAGTGCAGCCCTAAGTGAACGGTCCCAGCTGCTGAGAAGCTGGCTGTGAGGGCCAGGGAGGCTCCAGGATGAGCAAGAGCCGGCTCTAGTGACAGACACAGGCTCCCATGACACCTGCCATGTGGCTGTGTGCAGCTCTCAGACACAGCCGAGCCAGCACCTGTCCATCACCTGCTAAGTGCCTGCTGTCCCTGCTGCGGAACAGTCTTGTCCTTCACACCACCCACCGACTCCTTCCCCTCTCCCTCCCCTCTTCCCTGCCCTGCCCCCATAGCCCTGTTCTGTATGTTCACCACCACCTCCCCCACCACACTGCCATCATGAAGGGAACAGGCTGCACATTTTAAAAACCCTGAATCTCCCCGCACCTGGCTCAGGGCCTGTCCCAGTTCCATATTGAATAGAGAAAGAAAGAACACGGGAACTTCAGGCTACGTGACTGCTTCTGCCCTTGGGCAGCTCCAAGGTACTGCTGAGTCCCAGAACCATATCTTATGAAGGTGACTGGGTGTGGCAGGGAGCGCCCTAAGGAACTGTGAGGACTGGGATGTGCGAACTTGTCTCATCATTACAGACAGTGCACAGCACCGAGTGAGCAGAGGCAGCTATACTCCGGCTGGAGAGACAGATCAGTGGTTAGAGCACTGGTCGCTCTTTCCCAGGACACAGGTTCAATTCCCAGCACCAATGTGGTGACTCACAACTAACTGTAACTCTAGTTCCAAGGATCTAATGCCATCTCCCAGCCTCTACAGGTATCAGGCACACACATGGTGCACATACATGTACATACACAGAAAAATAATAAAACTGAAAAAAGAAACTAAGCCATTATGTTGCTAGATTTGCTCTGATGTCTGCACAAGGACGAAACCATCCAGCAATGCATTTCTTAGAGTCCCTGTCACCGAACCTAAGTGGCTATGCTGGAAGGGAAAGGGGGCTGGCAGCTGTATGTCGTGCAAACTCTGAGGCTCAGTAAGGGGCACCAGCAACACAGCCTCCGTAGATAGTCTGGACCCAGACTGAGAAGAAAGAGACCTGCACTGCGTTCCACTTCTTCCTCTGGCCGCAGTTTCATGCGCCTGTGTCCCTACAGGGCTAGGCACAAGGAAGCCTGGGGATTAAGCGGGAGCTGGCTTCTCCTGGGACAGGGGCTCTCCTAGGTTCCTTCCCTGGCATCTACTGGCCTGGGTAGCTGAGGAAGTCATCCATGCACGCAGAGAATTTGCTCCCTCTCTTGTGTGCCCATCAGGGACTGCTTGAACGGAACCCATGATGGATATCACACTCACATATTCCTGAGCAAAGTCGATAAGGTTCTGAAGGTCAATATCGTCCCGGTAGGCTTTAACATTGCTGTTGATGAAGAGATTGAGTTGGTCTCGAATCCAGTCCTTGAAGACAAAGGCCAGGATCCCTGTCGCCAGCTCCAGGAAGAAGATGAGGCCGAGGAACAGAGAGAACTGGGTTGGGGCATACAAATGGTAGGCATTGGAGAGGCAGGACTCCGGGGACTCCACAGGCAACAGCTCCCCACTTGCTTTGCTAGACCTAAAGGAGCCACGGTCTCCAGTCTCTACCCACTATTATTCGGGTGCTGCCTCCTTCCAGTCCTGCAGCAGGGAACCCAGAGAGAGCCCTGTGTGTGCTAGGCAAGTGATCTATCACCGAGCTTGCTCCCTCCCTTTATAAATACTGTTTTGTATCGACAAAAGACAGCGTGGTTTTCCCTGTGCCTTGTCTGGCCACCACGCCTAGGAGAGAACTGAATGGAAAGAGCTCAGGGGGCTCCAGTGTTGGCTGGGGTGGAGAGACACTTACGAACTGAAGCAGGAAGGTGTTTTCCCGGAGGGCCCCAATACAGCCAGCGAAGCCCAGCACCGACATGACACCCCCAACCACCACAAACAGCCACACGGGGTCAAGGCCGCCTAGATCTGTCAGCGCTGAGATGTTGGAGAGAACGCCCTGCAGATGGGGGAGTGGACCAGTGAGGGAGTGACCCTCCTCTCAGCTTGCCCCTAGGTCCCACTCTCTTACCTTCTCGCCCCAGGCCCAGAGGCCGATGGCCAGGAACAGGGCTCCCAGCACCTGCAAAAGCAGCCAGAGGTCAGAGCTGGACACCAGACCAGGACTGACTCTCCCTTACACCCCCTCCTTGAAGAGCATCAGGAAACTGGGAAGATGTGCCCAGGCTGTGAATGGGACTTGGTGGTGCATCTACCTAGGATACCTTCAGAGAGTCTTTTCCATAGGCTAGTTAGAGGAACTGAAGCCACCCCAAGCCTCAGACTGGACTCAGCCCCTTCCTGGACTCTCCACATAGAGTAGAATCCCACTGAGAGGTCCCCCTGGCTCAGAAAGCATCTGGTCCCAGGTATACTTATGTCTTTGTTTCGGTTTTTTTTTTCTTTTTTCTTTTTTTTTTTTTTTTTGAGAAAGGGTCTCAATGTAGTCAAGATTGGCCTCCAATTCACGATGCAGCTAAAGATGACCCCAGGATCTTAGCCTTTTCTGAATGTTCTATCCGGAACCCTTCTCTCTGTCTCATGCCTCCTTGACGCCCACCACTCTCTCCAGCCACCTGGATATCTGTTTATTTGTTCAATGTTTCCTCTCTATAGGGATCAGCCACATGGGGCCAAGAGCCTTTTCTCCACTGTGCTCACAGGGCCAACAGCTGCCTGGGACCCTGAGATATCTAAAACAGGAGGGGAGATGTGAGGATGGAGCCAGGGGAATGCCAGTGTCCCAACAAGCTGAAATGCCTGTGGAGAGGAAGGAAAACAGGAGGTTAAGGCTGGACCCTGGTGTGAAGGGCAAAATAGGGCAGATGGAGACCAAGCAGGAGGCTGGGAAAGTTAGAAAAAGAGCAAGAGGAGGAATGGGGTTGGTTTGAACAAGGAGATGTTTTTGGGAAACAAAACGTTAGCTGGTCTCTTGTCCAAAGATGAGACAGATCAGATGGGAAGGGGCTGGAGAAGGGATGTTGGTTGCAGAAACAGCACAGGAAAGGCATTTCCAGGAAGAATCCAGAAGTGGATAGAACCCAGGACCAGGCAAAGAAAGGGTGGACGGAGGTGGAGACTGGATAGTCTCACTCTACCCTAATGGTGTGTCCTCCTCAAAGACCGCGTGTCCAGGGAGTGGCCCAGGATCAGGGGTGAGAGGTGGCTGGCCTTGGCAGTCACGGCTCTCCAAGCCAGGAACTGAAGCAAGATGATGAGAAAGATTGAGGTGATGAAGGGAACACAGGCTGCCCAGATGAAGAACCTGTAGCCGGTGTCCAGATGGCATAGGTGGAGCCAGAAGGGTGGTACAGACCTATAATCCCCACACTTGGGAGGTGGGACATCAGGAATTCAAGGGTTCAGACCCCTCCCCATATCCAGGTCCTCTGTCACCCTTCCATATACCCACAGTCAGCTAGATCTGACCTAGTTCTGCTCTGAAGCTCCACACTGCCCAAGCACAGGACCTCAGTGTTCTGCCCTCTTCCACTCCCCTGCCCAGACCTCAGAACAAAGCCAGGACCATCATATTTGCCAAACAACAGAAACACACTCAGGGTTACTGCAGTGTGCCCCTCCAGTCACTGATAGGCATCTGTCACTCTCAGCAAATGACTTAACCTCTTGGCTCTAGTTATTCAGCCCCCCCCCCCCCCGTAAACTAGATAATAATAAGGTAGCGGGGAGACTGTGCCTCATTAGAACTTCAACACGAAACTCGCTGTGATGGCTCACACCATAAATCCCAGCACCCAGGAAGCTCACAAGGGAAAACTGCAGCAAATTCCGGGCCAGGGTGGGCTTTTGTTGTTGACGTCCCAACAACAAAAACCATTATTTAACAACCAAAAAGGACAAACTCCAATGCCACCCACTCCCAGGTTGGAAAGCGGAGGCCCAGAGAGTAAAGGTGGCTTGCCCCAAGGCCTCCGGACAAGGCCTGTTACACTCAGGCCCTCTGACTTCCAGGGCAGTGTTTCCTGCAGCTGCCCAAACCCTCCAGAGCAGAAGGCTGCTGTGATCCAAGGCACCCACCACAGGGCAAAACCGGCAGCACGCGGGTGGAGAAGAGTCCTTGAATCCTGCTGGAAACAAGTTGGAAAGGCCTGGCGAGAAGGAGCGCATGCAGAGCCCGCTTTGGCAATAGGAGGGGGAGGAAGAAAAGAAAGATGACTTGGCAGGGACCGGATACAGATGCCACCCGGGAGGGAAGCCTCTGTTCCCGCAGCAATGGAATGCTGAATTCTGTTCCCGAGGGACAGCTCCCTGCTCTCAACCAGAGCTCCTGTCTGCAGTTCCAGAGATCTTGGCTTTTGTCACTCCATGCCCTCCTGGTTCACAAGCTCCTAGTCTGTGGAGATAGACTGGGAATAGGACCCAACCTCAAGAACCTCACACACCCTGCCGGTAGCTGGAGTGGCCAGGAGGCGGGGCGGGGCTTATCCAGCAACTACCGCGCCCCTGCAGTCTTCCGGCAAACGCCGCCCCCTTTTTCGCCCAAACTTGGGGCTGCAACGCGAGACTCCCAAACCCCCCCCCCCTCTGCTGGGACTGGGTCCCGCCCCTCAGTAATCCCAGTAGCTCCCCGAGAGTAGTTCTTGGGGACTGGAAATCGGGGTGGAAGGGGTCGGGGACAGTCCCCGGTCTCAAGCTCCTGAGGAGGGTCTCTCCCCGCCCAGAAACTGAGGCTGCCTCGTCCCCCTCCCCAGCGCAGGGCGCGAAGCGAACCCCGCGCTCACCCAGAAGACAATGTTGAAGCCAAACAAGAAGTATTTCCCGCAGCAGCCGACTTCAGGGTCCTGGAAATGCTGGTGCTTGCCGGGCATGGTGAGTGGTGACCCGCCGCCCCGAGAACCGGAGCCGGGGACGGGCTCAGCCCTCTGCGGGCCGCCCAGGCCTGGAGCCGCCCCGGGCCTAGCCCGGCGGCTGCGGCTTCACGGCCAAGGCCACACAGCGAGCCGGCCGCCCCGCCCGCCTTGGCGCCGCCCCCGGCGCTGGGACCGCCACACCCGGAGTGCGGTGCCCTCATCCGACCCCGCCTCCCTACAGCGTCCCGGCCCCGCCCACGGAGTCAGCCCACGCCCCTCCCCAGCGAGTCTCAGTCTTCACGGAGCTCCGCCCACGCCCCCGTCCCAGCCAGGTTCTGTCCTCCCAGAGCTCCGCCCACGCTCACGACTCCGCCCCCAGCCGAGCTTAAGTGATCCCTGGCTCTGACCATTCCCAGCCGCCGTCCTCCAGAAGCCACGCCCAAAACTGCCCCTAGCCAGCCACTGATCGCGCCCCCTCCCAACTCGGGTTCTGCCTTTGACCTGCCCAGACTCCGCCCCCAACCGGCTTCGGGCCTTCTGGAGCTCCACCCTAGTCAGCCTCAGTTCTGAACCTTGCTTCTCCTTGGAGCCACGCCCCATACTTCGTTCACCGCCCCTCCACTCCACCCAGCCGGCCTCACCCCTCCCCAAGAACCTGTTTCTGGGCCAAGCTCTGGCAACACCTCCAGCCAGACACACTCCACCTCTGAGGAGCCCCCAACTCTCCATCTCCCTCCGACCTGCTATTGCAGCAATGGCCTCATTTCTCCAGAGGCTTGAGATGAGCCAACCCGCAGCCCTGGTGACCCAAGTGAGAAGACCCTGGGCCTCCAGTCGAAGGCTCAGAACCAGTGGCGTCCATCTCCAGGGATGAGCGGTTGGAGAGGGCGGCACCCGTGAACACTGCCAAGCATCTACACAGTGGATGGCGCCCCTGGGGCTGGAGTGCCTGCTGTGCCTGTTCCTATTATAGCTCCTTCCCACACCAACTCGGGCTTTCTCTGGTTTCCTTAGTACATGGGACTCACTGGAGTCCTGTTGAAGCAGGACAGGCCAGATCCATGGTTAGGGAAGCCTGGATCCTGAATATTTAGATTCCACATTTATTCCGGTTTATTAAGAACAGATACAAAAGGTGTCATTAGCCCCAAGTGGACCCCTTCTAAACCATGGAGAGGCCCAACCACCACCAGTAATTTCTTCATGGTGTTAGGGTTTATCACTCCTCCATTTCAGTCTTGCCCTCGGGCAGGAGACACACACAACCCACTGCACTCTTATCCCATCTTGAGAGAACTGGGAGGCTTTCTCAGTCCCCAGAGCCTGCCTGCCTTTACAAATGCCAGTGTTTGGCCTCTAACCTACTCCAGTAGTGGGGGTACAGCAAATAGGAAGGGCAGCCGATCCGAGGACCAAGTCACGGCTGGTGTAGGGAAAGGACAAGGTTTAGAATGGGCACCCAAACTGCAAAGCAATGCTCACCAAAAAACCTGAACTACTTTTAACAATAGTGGCCCAGAGCCTTTTTCCAAGACAGAAGAGCCTGCCTCAGCTCACCCAGTCCCTTTTCCTGACAGGCACAGAGAAGTGTTGGCCACAGGATTCTCCTGTCCTCATTTGACGGGGTTGAGCCAGGACTTGGCTTCACCCTGCCTTTGCCAAATGGCCACACAGAGAGCTAGGGGTCAAGTGTGGTTTATAAACACTGGCCAGCTGCCACAGGCCTGGGCCTAACAAATGGGGAAGGAGTCTTTCATGAACCCAGACACAATGGGGAGCTCAGCTCCTGTAACCCCGGTTATTAAGGCTGGAGCGGAAGGATGCCGTAAACCCATAAATAGGAGGCTAACCTGGGCAACATAGTGAGAGCTTATCTAAGGTGGGGGTGCATAAGTGTATTCCGAGACAGGTAAAGAGCCAAGCTGTCTGTCCTGCGATCCACAAGGCACACTTCCCTGTGCACCAAACTGCAGGATGAGGGTGTCCCAGGACCGGTGACTGAGGTTGGCTTCACACCACAAACTTGTTCTTGGCTAAAGAATTGCTCTTGGCAGCAGTGTCTGCATGGGCCTGGTATCCAATGATGGTCTTCGTAGAGAGGCCCAGACGCTCTTTGTATACGTGACTGGAGGGGGAGATGGGAAAGATGGCCGACAACTTCTAGGCCAAGCTATCTTGTTCAGCGACCACCCTGGTTCCAGCCACAGCCTCGTCTACTCATAGATAAGACCAGCCACCCACAGAACCCTTCAGTGACAATGAAGGCTTTAGTTAAAATGGTTTGGATCTACACTCCTAGTACGGAGGGTTCCAGAGGTCTCCCTTGCAGGCCAAGCCACCAACCATCCCGGCTCCAGAACCCATGCAGACAGGGCTCTCTCTCACCCAATGTGCATCACTCCTGCTTGGTTCTCGGCCTCGCTTGTCCACACAGCAATCTTGTCCCCCTTGGTGCGGATGTTGACAACAGCTCCACACACCTCCTGGCTGAATTCCTTAAAACTCTCCCCCAGCAGACACAGCAACTGGGCCCAGAGGGGGAATGGTAAGGGTCCACCCTACCAGCTTTGAGACCACTTCCCCCTGGAGGCCCACACCCACAACCCTTTCCGCCACTCACTGTCTCCAACCACAGACGGTCCAGTTCCGTGTGGCGCTGTTGTCTAGCAAGACTGAGCAGCCAACGGCCACCCCGCTTGTTCCTGTAGTCTTCCCACATGGGCTGGATGCCATCCTGTGAGGAATGGCAGATTAACTGCCTCCTTTTGTTTTAAGGGAAGTGGGCACCAAACTCTTGGCATATAGCCTTGTCTGCTCTGTATCCAGGCCTTAACTAGGCCTGCTTCTCTTACCTATATGCCGTCTGCACAAGCAGGTGCTGCCACCAATCACTCAGCCTCCCACACAGGCCCCTTCCAAAACCCCACAAGCCGCTGAGCCCCACTGTTGCCACCTTTTGTAACCTTCTCTGTGTGCTTGTCACCTTTACTGAACAGGGTGCCTCTGGGTCAGAATTTCTGTGGACTAGGGTAAACTTCCCAGGCTTGGCTCTGTGGTCCCCAGACCTTGCCGGGCAGAAGACACCCAGAGAAATCTCTAAATGCTGATGGTAGTGCCTCCAAGATGGGACTGGACTGGACATAAGGAATGCTCCCAGCCACCCACCCACACACACACACACACACACACAATGTTGATGTTCATGCTAGTTTAGAAGCCAGGCTAATAGCCTGGGCTCCATCCTTGAGACTCTCTTCCCTCCAGACTCGAGCATCTGTGCACGCCCCAGTCATTCATGAAGGGAAAACCGTGGACTCTGTCCCCTGAGCAGAGCCTACCTTGAACAGAGCATAGTCACAGCCGGAAGAGAGCTTGCTGGCCAGCTTGATGTGTCTGTACGTCCTGGAAAGACCCCACACAGAGTTCAAGGCTTTGCAGCACGCGGTTCACCTGAGCCTGACTTTCCAGCTCCTCACCAGACCTAACTTCCCACCACCTGCTTCTTTCTTCCCAGGACCTCCCCACCCCCACACATGCCTCTAGGGCCCTGCTGCCTAGAATCCCTTCTCTGGGAACCTGACCCAACTGAGAAAGCCTGAGGAAGTCCACACCAATAGGGCATTCTAGCTTGGCCTCCTTCTTGAGTTTGTGTGGCCTCCCTCCACTCTCTTCTCTGGCACATAAATGCTAGAGCATCAGCCTAATCCTTACTATGGCTGAGCCAGCTTTCCAGATAGAAAGGAACCTGGTCAGGGCCCCAAAGCCACAGAGTAGCAGGCTTCACTCCTGCTTCTCCCTGGCCTGAGGTTCCCCCTAAACCCCTAGACGCTTTGGGGCAGGGCATGGTCTGTCTAGAGCCTACCAACCCGCAGCTCCCAGCAAATGTTGACAGCCCCTGAAAAGGTGGCAGACTGTAATTCCTCTGACTCCCAGCTCAGAGCCCCCCACGGCACTCACGCCCAGAAGTCCTCCACAGTGTTAAACTTAGTGACGGGCTGCAGATTTTCCTGCCAGGGCCGGCTCCGGTCATTCTTGAAGAACCACAGAACCCATCTGGGGAATGAGGAGAGAGGAGGGTCAAGACCCCACATGTCACCCCTGCAGTACCTGACTGGGTTAACAAGCTTGTAAAATAGGGGGTGAGACTTGGGACATAGTCCCCAAAGGTATGGGAAGTCAGTTATCCCTGCAGCCTGGGTGAGAGGGTATTTTAAAAATCCACCAAGGGATAGAGAGGTGGCTCAGAGGTTAAGAGCACTGGTTGCTCTTCCGAAGGTCCTGAGTTCAATTCCCAGCACCCTCGTGGTGGCTCACAACCATCTATAATGGAATCTGATGCCCTCTTCTGGTGTGCAGACCTACAGGAAGACAGAATACTCATATCCATAAATAAAAAATATTTTTTTAAAAAGCCCACTGCGTGTGAGGCAGGATCCAAGGGTCTCGGGCAGCTCAAGTGATACAGACACTGGGGGTCTCTGTGGCCTCCCTACCTATAATGCAGGGGGTGCTGCTCTCTGTGGGCCTTCCTCCTCGGAGTCAGGAGTGCAGGAGGGTCTCCCGTGTCTTCTCCTGGGAGGACCTTCACCGCTGCTTCTGATGGCTTTTCTTTCTCCACCTCCTCTTTCCTCTTGTGCTCTTCACCGTCAGCGCTGATTGTCTGACCAGAGAAAAGAATGGCAGTGAGCCAGAGCTGGGGAGCTGGTGCCGCACCCCTTTAATCCCAGCTCTCGAGAGACAGAGGCAGGTGGATCTCTGTGAGTTTGAGGCCAGCTTGGCTTACAGAGCAAGTTCCAGAACAGCCAAGGCTACACGGAGAAACCTTGTCTTTAAAATTTTTTTTTAAAAAATAAAAAAAATCCTTTTTTGGATCCATAAGCCCCAGTTCTGGCTGACCGACCCCTCTCCCTATGTTTTTTTACCCCAGCTAGCCAGTGGGTCTGGGATAGGCAGGTAGGTAGACTCACAGCGTCGGGGGTAGCCATGGCAAAGCTCCACCAGCAGCTAAAAGGTCACAAGGCCTTGCTTTTAACCAAGCAGAGAGCCCAGTCCCACCTGGGCAGCCAGGTGGGTGGAGGAGCTTGTGGGGTGGGGGTGGGGTGGGATGGAATAGGGGTTTGACCAGAATCCTTCTCTTAGAAGGTAAGTGCTCACCACTCTGCACAGCTGTGACAAGAAAAACCCGTCCTCAGGCAGCAGGTGGGGACTC